AGCATTCATCTATAACAGTTATTAGCGATCGCGTATATATAGAAGTAATAGTACTTTTCTTTAGATAGACCAGAAGAAGACTAGCTAAGCTTATACCAACAAATAACGAAAAGGGAAGCAGCATGCATCTATAATAATTATTAGCTATTGAGTACATGAAGTAGAAGTAATAACACCTTACTTTAGATGAACGAGGTAAAAAAAAAAGACGCTAGTCAAGTTTATACCAACAAGTAAAAAAAAAAAAAGAAGCAGCATGCATCTATAATTACTATTAGTTATGAAGGGTATTTTATAAAAGTAATAGTACCTTGCTTTAGATGAACCAGGAAAAAAAAAAAGAAAAAAGAAAAGACAGAAAAAAATAACACCAGCCAAGCTTATACCAGCAAGTAAAAGAAGAAGCAACGATAATCCCGGGAAAGAGACTTTGTAAAGACCATTTAAAACATTAAGAAAGCAGGCAATACGATTTTACTAAAGTAAAAGTACTATTAGAACAGGAATGGAATATATATAATATTAAGAATTTACCTTTTATAAAAAAGAGAAGAAGAAGAAAAAAAAAGAGAGAAGTGCTTTCTTTGTAGCCTTATTTTTACCAATGTTACACTTATTCACTGTCTGAACATATAAGTCAAAAACAGTTGCTTTTCATGTAGTTTACTTTCAGTGATATCCCAAAAAATAACTTATACATTGCTTGAACAAGTTTTATTACTTGAGTGTAATATCTTTAACATGGAGAGTATTCTTTTTTCTTTTTTTTATTTTAGGTAAAAAAAAAAAAAAAAGTCGGTATCTTAACGAACTACAGCAGTAGAACAGCTTTTTTTTTCTCCCTGGTTTTGTTTCATGAAATACAATAGATTCCAAAGGTACAAAAGATAAAAAAGAAAGCACAAGTTCTGGTCAAATGTAAGTTTATAAAAAAAAATAATAACAACCAAGTCTAATGTCGGTTTCTTTTTTTTTTTTTTACATTAGGAATTCCTAATGGGACACATTCGGATGACGAACATGAACCTCATGAGCAAAGTTGTTCTTTCCAACTTAAAGAAACTATAAGAATATTAAACTTACATTGTTGTTTATTGCTGAAAAGTTCTTTTTGGTAAAGAAAGTTGTCATTGCTAACATCTCTAATGACTAATGGCTAATGGCTAATGGCAAATTACACCCATGTGCAAACGTAAAGTAAGTAATAAACTAGCATCAGCTTAAAAAATATATATTCTATTATATTATCCGTTATAAAAAACAATAAAGCCATCCATTTATTTGATAAACAAAAACGTTTTGTATGTATTTGTTAATTATAACTGCCTTGTAACAAAATGTTAGCAGAGATTCTTTATTTTCTTATTCTTTTTAAAATACACGCGTATTCTTTTGTTATAATATAAAGACATTTGCATTTCTATAAAGTATATTTGTTGTTATATTATTGTTTTCATTTGAACAATGAACTTTCTATTGCTATACTCTTTTTTTTTTTTTCACTTAATCTATTTTTTTTTACTTAGTCCTTTTTTTTTCAAACACGACTATTTTGTTACTTTCCGTTACACATTTTCTAATGACCTAAGCTAAAAACCACAGACTGCCTTCCTAATATGTATTCTTCTGAACAAAATAATCGCAAAATGCTTTTGATTTCCGCATTTTGCCCTCAAAAATAAAAAAAAGAAGACATCGGTCTTTCAACGATAGAGAGGAACAGGATTTCCAAAAAAAGATCATTTGAAAAAAAAAAGACACTTTTTTAAAACATGAATAACTTTATAAATACTTACGCTACAAAAAAAACAAAAATATTGTTCAATTTCTTTATTTTTTTCGCACCTGAATCTTTTTTCAAAATTCGAAAATGACCAATACAGCGAAAGTTAATTTTTTTCATTTAATCAAAGACGTCAAAAACGTTGATTTTTAGATGCAACAACTGACTGTAGATGTTGACAATCACCAATTATTTCCAGTGGCACACTGCAAATGACTGGAGAAAGTAAGCGTTCAGTTTTAGAATAATTGAAGACAAACACGCCAAAGATCATGCAAACACACGATATTTTATGGATGTTTTAAACGTTTTTCGCGGCAGTGCAGTTAACGTTTAGTATTCATTAAGAGAGCAAGTGGAAGTCATTTAGCATTCTTTTACCAGAGCAGTCGACACGTTTTACTCAATACTTGCCAACGTTTGGGCAACGAATCATAATTTTTAAAGCATTTCTTTATTTGTCCTTTTGTTCTTTTATCGACCGCTCATATTGCCTTATATACTTCTTTAACAACCACTCATATTGCTTATATACTTCTTTATTAACCATTCACATTGCAATAAATATTGCTTCATATATACAAAAAAAACTGGGATTTGGCTTATAAAAATAGCTTTTTTTTTTTATTTAAATAAAATAATAATAACAATATACAGTATTTCTTTGCTTGTAGTGTTTTAAAAGCTTACTTGACTTACCTAATGTCATCACGATAGCATCATCTAATCTAAAAATACATCGATTAATTTCGTGGGACTCAAAAAGTTCTCATAAGAAAAAGAAAAAAAAAAAAAAAAAAAGCCGAGCACAAGAATGCAAAGACACAAAGGTTCAAGGACTTGAGCAATCAAAGCAAAAGAAAAGATATCAGTACTTAAGAACCAAAGCAAAACCAGAAAAAAGATAGAAAGAGGCCAAAGCAAAGCAGCATTCATCTATAATTATTGGCTATCGTGTATACATAGTAAAAGTAATAGTACCTTTTTTAGATAGACCATGGGAAAAAAACTAGTTAAGCATTATCAACAAGTAAAAAAGAAGCAGCATGTATCTATAATAACTATTAGCTATGAAGGATATGTAGTAAAAATAATATCACCTTATTTTAGATGAACCAGGAAAAAAAGAAAAAAGAAAAAAAAACACGCCATCCATGCTTGTACCAACAAGTAAAAGAAGAAACAACTGTAGTCTTGAGAAAGAGACTTTATAAAGACCATTTAAACCATAAAGAAAGCAGGCAATACGATTTTACTAAAGTAAAAGTACTATTAGAGCAGGAATAGAATATATATAATATTAAGAACTTACCTTTTATAAAAAAGAGAAGAAGAAAAAAAAAAAAGAGAGAAGTGCTTTTTTTGTAGCCTTATTTTTACCAATGTTACACTTATTCACTGTCTATCCATGTTAGAAATCAAAAACAGTTACTTTTCATGTAGTTTATATTTAATTATGTCTCAAAAGATAACTTATACATTGTTTGAGCAAGTTTTATTACTTGAGTGCAATATCTTTAACATGGAGAGTATTCTTTTTTTCTTTTTTTTTTTATTTTAGGTTAAAAAAAATTCGGTCTTAACGGACTACAGCAGTAAAGCAGCTTTTTTTTTCTCCCTGGTTTTGTTTTATGGAATACACTAGATACCAAAAGTACAAAAGATAAAAAAGAAAGCTCAAGCACTGGTCAAACGTAAGTTCATAAAAAAAAAATAACAACCAAGTCTAATGTCGGTTTCTTTTTTTTTTTTTTTTTTTTTTTACATTAGGAATTCCTAATGGGACACATTCGGATGACGAACATGAATCTCATGAGCAAAGTTGTTCTTTCCAACATGATGAAGCAATAAGAATAACAGACTTTATTGTTGCTTGTTACTGAAAAGATATTTTTGGTAAAGAAAGTTGCCATTGCTCACATCTCTAATGGCTAATGGCTAATGGCAAATTATGTCGTATTTTCCTTATTAAATACTCAAATGTCGTGTGAGATTACTCAAGATCTCCATGTCATATAATTTAAAACTACCTCTATATAACACGTAGTGTTATATAGCCATCAGTACTCATAAACAACTTTAGTAATTTACATTGCGCAACTTCGGTTCTTCAATTATTAATTTTATAAAATCAGACGTAGTTTGTATTTAATGAGTTCTCTCTCCTGTCTTCACTCAATAAAGAGGTTCAAGAGTCTCATCGATTATCAGTTTCCTGTTTACACTTTATTTTTACTTTTAATCGACTACAAACTACTCACCAATATCACAAATTACACCCATGTGCAAACATAAAGTAAGTAATGAACTAGTATAAGCTTAAAAACATATATTCTTTTACAATATTTGTCATAAAAAATAATAAAACAATCTATTTATTTGATATGCAAAAAAGTTTTGTATGTATTTGTTAATTATAACTGCCTTGTAACAAAATGTTAGCAGAGCTTCTTTATTTTTTATTCTTTTAGAATATACACGTATTCTTTTTTTATAATGTAATAGCATTTGCATTTCTATAAAGTATATTTGTTGTTAGAGTACTGTTTTCATTTGAACAATGAACTTTTTATAGCTATACTCTTTTCTTTTCTTTTTTTTTAACTTCGTCTTTTTTTTTTAACTTCGTCTTTTTTTTTTTAACTTCGTCTTTTTTTTTTAACTTAGTCTTTTTTTTTAACTTAGTCTTTTTTTTTTACCAGGCCATTTTTTTTTCCCAAACACGACTATTTTGTTACGTTCTGTAACACGTTTGTAATGATCTAAGCTAAAAATCACAAACCACCTTCCTAATATGTATTCTTCTGAACAAAATAATCGCAAAATGCTTTTGATTTCCGCATTTTGCCCTCAAAAATAAAAAAAAGAAGATATCGGTCTTTCAACGATAGAGAGGAACAGGATTTCCAAAAAAAGATCATTTGAAAAAAAAAGACACTTTTTTAAAACATGAATAACTTTATAAATACTTACGCTACAAAAAAAACAAAAATATTGTTCAATTTCTTTATTTTTTTCGCACCTGAATCTTTTTTCAAAATTCGAAAATGACCAATACAGCGAGCGTTAACTTTTTTCATTTAATCAAAGACGTCAAAAACGTTGATTTTTAGATGCAACAACTGACTGTAGATGTTGACAATCACCAATTATTTCCAGTGGCAGGACCACTCGTTGGCTTGGCTCTTCTGAAGAAAGTATTGACAAAAATAAAAAAGGGTTCTTGGTGAAGTGGTATCATTCTTGCTTTGGGTGCAAGAGGCCCCGGGTTCAAACCCCGGAGGACCCCTTTTTGAATCTTTATATTTGTTGTAGATGAAGAATGTTTTTCCGAAAAAGAGGCTTATCTACTGTGAGAATGGTCTCTTTTTGGACGAAGTACGAAACAACTCCGACATGGATTGTTAAAATAACTTAAGTTATTTTAACAACCATTGTCAAAGAAATAACAATAGCCGCAAAAATAAAAAAAAAAAAAAAAAAAAAAGAAAAAAAAAATTATCATATATATATCCCATCTTTTTATGAAGAAATTGTCAGTCAGTTTAAATAAATCATATATTTCTACTCAATAATTAACAAACTTTAACAAGAAAGTCCCTGTTTACCTAAACTTTTTACTCTACTTTAACTTTTATCAAGAAACATCGTATTGATCTTACACATAAGATCTGGTGGTCACTACTTATCAAGCATCTGCTTAAATTCCATACAAAACAACAACTTACAAGGCAATCACAACCTTAAATCAAGCTTTACAAGCAAACTTTACCCAATTTAACACTCAAACTTACAAGCCAACCTTTAAAATAACATTTGGTGGTCACTACGAGGGAATAAACCAAATAAATCAAAAAATCACAGAAAAATATATAACACAAACAACTTCGATCAGAAATTAAAACAACTCAATCAACTCTATAAATTCAACAAAAACTTATAAAAAAAAAACGAAACTTTAAAAACTATCAAATCTATCTGAAACTGAAATGGCTTATATAAATGGACACTTCGCGTTGGCTAATGCTAATATGAACGCAAATTACCGACCTGCTTTAATTGATTTCCATGGCTACGAAGGAGAAGACTTCCGTCATTTTGTAGAAAGTTTGGAATCTTACTTTGCTATTAATAATATTACTCAAGAACCACGCAAGCTTATTATACTCAAGGCACAACTAAGAGGAGCCGCCAAAGTGTATTACGAAAAAGAAATACTCAAAAGAATACCTGGAATCAACTACGAACAAGCCGTAGACCTCTTGAAAAATTATTACATAACTCCAGAATTGATACAGAGTTACGAATTAGAATTTAATGAAATGTATCAAGGCGAACAGGAACACCCACAAATATTCTTAGCCAGACTAAAAGAAGCCGCAGACCTTGCTAACATAACTAATGATGCAGTCATCGAAAGCCGATTTCGTGCAGGACTCTTACGAGAAATCAAACAGTTCTGTATACAGAGTAGTTCTAAAAACTTACAAGACTGGATCAATCACGCCGAAGGATGGTGGAATGCCAATAGACCTCGAAAGATTGCTATGGTTGATAATCCCTTCATACCAAGGAACGCCAATCAAGCTTTGATATATCATAATGAAAATTATGATCAACATCATCCATCAAGCAACCACAATATTGACTTAATTGACACAAATGACCATGCCATGCCAGCACTAGCATATAACCAAATACATTATAACAATGCTCAACCTAGTAGTAATTACTATTACAACAATGCACATGGTACAAATCAATTGACAACAATGGATACATCAAGAAACCGTAATCAGTTGCATCAAGCCCAATACATTGGAAATCAACATACAGTGGCCGTCAAAACTGGTCGCATGTTTTCATATTTTGCCTATACGCACTATCTTCTTCTTCATTTCTTAGTCTATAGCAATGAAATATACTTCATTCGAAAGAGCAAACTCTGGACAATTATATGGTAGCACAGATATCACAGTAGAGCCAGTATACTGGTAGTAATTGGCACTTAAAGTTCGATGGTACATGCGACCAGTTTTGACGGCGTTTATAACTAATATAATATAGTGACAAAAATGTGGCTTAATAATAATATTTTTATATTTTTTTTCTCTCTTTCTTCTTTCATCGTAATATCATTTACATGTAAGTGTTTTTTTGTTAAATTGCAGCATGCCATTAAGACATTATACCATTGCAGATCCGACATGCGTGCAATTTCAAATGACAAAGCAAACAACATCTACTCATTGTTGAGATCCAAGAAGTCAAACAGCAAAATAGCAAAACAAGTTGGTGTTAGTCGTACCACTGTTCAGAAGTACCGCTCATCTCTTAAGATGAGTGGAAATGTTGATGAAGGTGGTCGCCCATCTCTAATTAGCCAACGCATGGTGAACTACATCCGGAGATTAGTCACCTTAGGAAGAAAAAATAATGCTGTAAAGATCCAGAAAGCTCTAAAAGAAGAATTTGGAATGTCTGTAAGTGACAGTACCATGCGCCGCGTTCTTAAAAAAGCTGGCTTTATAGCGTTTGTCAAGCCCCAAAAACCTTTGCTGCGCAGCCAAAACATCGTGAAACGCCTTCAGTGGGCCAAATCGCACCAGCATTGGACTGTGGATGACTGGAAACGGGTCATATTCTCTGACGAGACCAAAGTAAATCGTTTTGCATCCGACGGAAAGGCTTATGCATGGAAACTACCCCATGAGGAATTGAACTCGCGACATGTACAGCAAACCGTCAAGCATGGAGGCGGCAACATCATGGTCTGGAGCTGCATTACATGGGAAGGTGTTGGATGGATAGTTGATGTAGGTCATCGTATGAATAGCGAAGGCTATCTTGAGGTCCTAAAAGGCGACTTACTCAAGACAATGAAAAGCTATGGCTTGGATTCTTCCAAAATGGTGTTTCAGCAGGACAATGATCCGAAGCATACGTCGAAGGTAGTGAAAGAATGGATTAGCCAGCAGCCACTCGAAGCATTGGAATGGCCTCCTCAATCACCGGACCTAAGTCCCATAGAGCATACGTGGGCTCATTTAAAGAGAGAGCTATTTCATAGCTATGAGGCACCACCAAGTAGTATGCATGAGCTATGGGAGCGTATAGGTCAGACCTGGTATGCCATTTCCAAAGAAGAATGCCAAAAATACATCGAAAGTATGCCGAAAAGGTACGTTGCAGTTATTAAAGCAAAAGATCGTTGGACTAAATATTGATTTTTTTAAATAAAGTGTGCAAAAATGTTGACTTATAAATGCCGTCAAAACTGGTCGCATGTACCATCGAACTTTAAGTGCCAATTACTACCAGTATACTGGCTCTACTGTGATATCTGTGCTACCATATAATTGTCCAGAGTTTGCTCTTTCGAATGAAGTATATTTCATTGCTATAGACTAAGAAATGAAGAAGAAGATAGTGCGTATAGGCAAAATATGAAAACATGCGACCAGTTTTGACGGCCACTGTATACGTCCTAACCAACAACAAGATCTTATTGGTCTTATACAACAAGCTATTCGCCAAGAGCTTAATAGTCAACAATATCAACAGCAACCTACTAGAAGTAACAGGTATAATGGTTATAACAATAATTATAATAGGTCTGGAAGATATGGAAATAACGACAACAATGGACGATACGATAACAGCAACAAAAATTATATGTCAAATCAAAGGAGATCATATGACCAACCAGCAAGTCAGGATCAACGACAACCAAATAATCAACCCATCAACCAACATAACAATCAACAAAATAAACAGTCAAAAAACTATTAGGGTCAGTTGCTTTTGATAACTCACAGAAAAATGGTCAACTGAACACCCAAAAAGATACAAAACCCATTAACAACCTTCAACAACAACAGCTCAACGCAATATTAACAGATAAATATAATAGTAAACAAAAGGATCTCTATGCAGCAATCAGACCAGAAAGACCTCCTGACGTTGCCACAACTACACCCTATCCAAATTCTAGACCCACAAACAAAGAAAAAGGAAAACAAGTAGCAAAACCTACCATAACCAGAAAAGTCACTACACGAAGTCATATCGAAGAAGTGAAAAATCCCACACCTGTACAACAAATGCAAGCCACTCGAACTGAGGCTATGGATACGGATCTCCCTATTCAACGCAAGGTTACTGAGAAATCAAATAAACCAAGAACCAGAAGAATAGAGCCAGATATCAAATATGATATAATCTCAGATGTGTTAAAACAAAAAGCCGATATAGAAATTGGAGATTTGATCACAGTAGCTCCATCTTTACGCAAAAAGCTTGTAGATGAATGTCGACCTAAGAGAAAATCTAGACAAAGTCAACAAGTAGCTCAACAAACAATGGCTCTAATCGAAGATGAAGAAATCAATACCACTGCAGCCTACTCAACTGTGAGTATTGGAGACAAAAATATTAAAGCCCTAGTAGACAGTGGAGCATCAAAGACATGTATATCAAAGGCTCTAGCAGACGCTCTTGAATTAGAAATAGATTCAGCATCAGAAAATGTATTCACACTAGGAAATGGAACCAAGCAACCTGCTCTCGGATTGATATACGACGCTCCAATTGAAGTCAAGGAAGACATGGTCATACCCTGTACAATCGAAGTCCTACCATCCTGCCCTTCACATCTCATACTAGGAAGCAATTGGTTAAACCGCGCTAAAGCCAAGATTGATTTTAACAGCTCTTCATTAAAAGTAAAATACAAAAACCAGAAGGCAGAATTACCAATACACTTCATACGCAAAAGCACACCGTTACCTAAAATGAAAACATTTCATCAAGACTATCAACATCCTATAAGCCTCACAAACTCAAATTCCGAAAAGCACGTACATTTTGAAGATCGTGATTCAGAAGGCAGTTATTCATCAAGCAAAGAAGAAGACGAGTCTGAAACAGAAAGTGACGATGATATTGAAATGGAAGTAACAGCCTTAGAAAGAAACTATGAACAAGAATCATTGCAAGTTTTGAAAAATGACAAATACGAAGAAGTAGTTATTACAAACTCACAAGAGATGTATTCGATAAAGTCAACAGACACAGGATTGTTGATGCAAGCTCATTCGTCGAAACATATCAGCCTAGACAAACCCAAAGAAGACACTCAGAACATACTATATGACTTTTACATCACACATCCAAAGTTAATGCAGTCTTCAGGATACTTTGATCGGTCATCTTCATTCATAGTCAACAAGAAGTCATTAGACATTTGCTTATATAATCGCACAGAAAAAGATATTTATCTAAAACCTG